TCTGGTATGCCCCGTCGTGATATTGCTGGAATATGGCTGAAAGCGGAGTAAAACCATACTCACTCACCCAATTCAAAACTAAACTGACGTACGAAAGAAAGTACACACATGGTGTTTGGGGATTATTTGAAGAATACACTTAAACATGCTGAAAAGTGTTTGGACTGTGACTTTTGACTGACAAGTCACAAGCGTTGTGCAAGTGTTGCATGAAACGTATCACAGAGATATTCTTTACAGTGTTGTGTGTGAGATATCATGACAGTATAATACACAGTTGATTGAGATTGTTGGTGCTATAGCTGTTAAAGGCACACATCGAAATGACATGATTATCAGCAGCTTAACATTGGAATGTTGCAAATGGGGGAGTTCGAACAGTCATATTTCCAGAACATTCGGCTGTACAAGGCAGACCATCACTATGAGGCACTCAACCAAAGTGGCCATACATCAGAACTGGAGGACCAAGAATGTCCAACTCGCAAGATGACCATCACATGCGCAACCGGATGCTGTCAGTGACGTCATCAGTATAAACAGGAAAACAGTGATGAGACGATCCGGCAACGTTGGGCGACAAACGTCAGACATTGTCCACTTCGTATTTTGGATAGATATCTGTGGTGTTTGGGCAACATGTGAGTGAGTGAGTTCAGTTTTACGACACTTTTAGCAACATTCCAGCAATATTACGGCGGGGACACCAGAAAATGGGCTTCACACATTGGGCTTCACACATTGTACTCATCTGGGGAATCGAACCCGGGTCTTCGGCGTGATGAGCGAACGCTTTAACCACTAGGCTACCCCACCGCCCTTGGGCAACATGTACATGATGTTGTCACACGGCTTTAAGCTTTTGTCCAGCTCTCACAGTGTATTTTCAAGAATACAATGTTGTGTAAAGTTGTCATGGAAAAGAGAACAAAGAAAAGTAGAAAATGTGTTTTGGTATTGGCAATGAGGGCAATGATCTGGTACAGATATTGTTACGTATTTTCCTCATAGAAATATGTGGCCATAATTCCATCTGGATTTGAATAAAAATCCCTCTAGAAGCAGTTTTAGATGCGTAAATATCTTCTCCCAAATTGCCAGACTGACCACGCAGAACATTGGCATAAGTAATTCTATAGTCTGTTTGCAGTGAAAACGTACCGACGAAGTTCACTTTAAACAAAAAAGTATTTTTAATGTAAATCTCAGAATTTTATTCAACTTAGGATAAAAGTTGTTTAACAAACGATCATAGTTTCAAATCGCTTTTATTGGTTTGTATTACAAGGGGAATGCACATTAAATGAAACACCGAGAACAAGTGGGTTTGGTCTGAGTTAACGCTCATCACGTACTGCACGTGCATTTGTTTCACTGTTCCAACTACTGCGCTTACGCCCTTGTAATACAAACCGATAATAGCGATTTGAAACTATGATCGTTTGTTAAACAACTTTTATCCTAAGATGAGTAAAACTCTGAGATTCAAATGTTCAATTGGCAAGGTAAAATTATGAGGATTCGCAATCTTAATTTCACTTTATTTGATTTACTTTTTTGTTTAAAGTGAAATTCATCGGTGCGTTTTAACAAACAGATTATAGTTTCGAAGACATCATATTGTGTTCAAATATATAGAAAATAGGATCAGTTTTGCGAGATTGGGATTTTACTTGAAAACTGCTTTAATTTTTTCTTAAAGTTTGTTCTTTTTTCAAAACAGAAGGTTTGGGAGCCCCATACCCTTGCTCGTGGCTTTTATTAAATTATTAATGTCTAAGACCAGCTTCGCATTGAGTTTCTCTCAACACTAAGTTGAAACCCCGAACACTGGACTGGAACACTGGTCACAGTGGCGTTTAACCCAACTCACTCTCAAGCATAGTGTACGTTTGAAAGGTTAGAAAGTGGTATGTGATATAGAGGTGCCTGAATGTCGGTTCGAATCCCGGACGAGACTCAACTCGAAAATGTACTAGATTCTGTACTATGCTAAGAAAGTGTAATCCCAAATATAGAATGTGTTACATTTGAAAACTTTCTAAATGGCATTGTGTATTCATGGCAAGAGGATAGTTATCAAAATGTGTTACAGTAGCTGTATCAAGTAGGGCTGCACGGTATTACCGGTATACCGGTATATGGCAATATGCTGTTCAAACGATACGTATTGCAATATGTTTTCTGAGAACCGGTATATTGGGTAAAGAACATATCTGACGTTTTGGTGATTGTTTTTCTGGTTTACATTAAAATCTACACATACTTTCATTCACAACAGTTGTTTTCCTTCGTTATTCAATGGCACACTGAATGCTGTAGTTCTATAAATTTGTATAAAAAAGAAAATGACTATGCAACCTTATTTTGAGACAGCTGTTATCAGAACCATAACATGCATGTTTAGGGACTTATAATGCAGAAAATAGGACTGACATGCACAATTAGTTTCACTCACTGTCAAACACTTAAGGGCCCAATATATCGCAATACGGGTACCTGAATCGCATTATATTGCAATACAATTTATTTGTCAATACACAGCTCAAGTATCCAGTGGTTCCCGTTGATAGCGTTGGTCATGAGAGCCCCAGGTACTGTAAAGTCATCCATCTTACTGTCATACGAAACGCAACCACACACCATTACCGAGCTTTCACGGTTCAGCTGCATGGACCATCTCCTGGCGATATGCCTCGTCTACATACGAGGTAACGGCCGTCGGTAACGCATAGAAGATAGCGACTTTATCAGACAAATGAACCCTACGTCATGTCTTCGTGTAGCGGTTTTGTCGAAGTCTGCACCACGCCAGACATTCCTTAGACCTACGTTCAGTCTCTCAATATAATTCATTTTCATAGAAACAAACAATTCCTTTGAAATTGAAAAGAAGGAGCCCAAGTGAGAAGGGATATTCAGTGAGTTAGTTTTCTTGCTGATGACAACAGAACCTGAGGAAATCTAGATTTGTTTCATTTAGGACTTCAGCATTGCAAAAAGGACTGGGCAGAAGGGAAAATAATGAGGTTCAGGGCCGAAGGCCAGAGTTCGATTCCTCGCATGGTTACAATGTGTGAAGGCCATTTCTGGTGTCCCCCGCCGTGATATTGCTGGAATATTGCGAAAAGCCGCGTAAAACCAAACTCACTCACTGTGGTGGTAGTGGTGGACAGCCGCGCCCCCACTCTCTGTTGGCGGCGTAGTTCATGGGTCACGGGACAGCGTCTTGCCAGATGAATTAAGACTCGGTCATTACGATCACTGGCCTTCCTCGATCGGTCTTCCAGGTGTGTTGTTTTTTGTTTGTTGGTTTTTGGGGGGTTTGTTTGTTTTGTTTGGAGGGTGGGGGTTACGATCATGTACAGACCCGTGCCAGTTATGTTCGAGTACTTGATGTAATTTCCACATACTTACATGTTACTTTTGTGTAGCATAAATCATGAATTGATTTTCGTAAGATCCAAGCCAAATTTTGCACATTTGTGAGGAATCATCTTACCTACAATCACATAATTTCTTTTTAATTTCCCGTTTCTTAAGTATCGAATGGCAACAATTTAATCAACCTATGTACAGTGCCTTGATCTCCTTTAACATGGCGGCCTATGGGATTGTGCATTGTGGAACCATACGTAAGTTAATAAATGTGATGTCATTAGTTAAATAGCGGTCGGGAAAATTGAACAGAAATTATGTGCGTAAAGCAGAGATGATTTTACATTTGCCTGTCAAATTTTACAAAGATCCATCCTAACTGACTTCATGAAAATTATTTCCGAATATAACTGGCACAAGTCTAAACTTCGGCTTATAACTAAGCAAGTCGACTAAGAACTAAGCCACTGTCGTACGTAAAGGTGAAGACACCCAATCATCCGTATATATTCATTATGACATGAGGTGTGTGTCATTATCGCTCACATAGAAATCGATACAATGTGGTCTGGCTATGAATGCCACCTGAGCTCGCACACACGGTCGTAATGCTGAAACTAGGTGTTTACGGTCTACCAAACACTCAAGGACATCAAGGTACGGATAATGGGGAATTCAGTCAGAGAGAATGTTGGTGTGTTGTGATAGACTATCTTGACATTAAAACAGTAGGAATCCATTTGTTCGTATTTCGTTATTCTGTATGGCATACATAATAAACGTTGACGGTGAGTGAGTTTAGGTTTTACGCCGCACTCAGCAATATTCCAGCTATATGGCGGCGGTCTGGAAATAATCGAGTCTGGACAATCCAGTGATCAACAGCATTAGCATTGATCTACGGAATTTGGATACGACGACATGTGTCAACCAAGTCAGCGAGCCTGACCACCCGATCCCGTTAGTCGTCTCTTACGACAAGCATGGGTTACTGAAGACCAATTCTAACCCAGACCTTCGTTGAAGGTAAGTCACTGATTGATGTAAAAACGTTTTACAGAAGTCCCAAGTGTCTAGTGCTCACTTAATTTTCCTAACGATCGGTTAAAAATTACTACATAGAGCTTATGGAGTGTCCAAATGTTCTCTACTGACTGTATGGAGGTATAGGGAGGGTGTGCGCTTACAGGTGAACATTGAGGGTTCGTTACAAATCGATCGCTACTTATAGCAATTCACCTAATAATGGATAACTGAATCAATAGAAATGAAGAATGATTTCAATAGCGAATTTCATATACATAATAATATGCAAAGTCCATTGTTTGTTGTAAAGGGGGGGGAGGGGTGAACAGAATATCCGCCATTTTCTTTTTATGACGTAACATAGGTGTGACCTTTGTGTGACCCATCCTCCTCCGGGAGTCCCCTTCCGGTGAGTGTGTGACCTTCAGGTTGACCTCATTTCACATTGAGCTGACCGTGGTACTTTCCCAGAGGTATTTTTAGACTCGTGTGTGGGCAATACAAGGCCTCCGAACAGTCCCCATGTCATTCAGTCGCAAGAGACAAGGCACGCATCCTCTTGACTCTACTGATTCTGGTAGCCGTTTACCTCGAAGATGGAAGCCGCTCACCGTGATATCCTGAGGAAGAATTACTCCGGCCTAGTGCAAGCTATACAGCCAGTACAAGAGGTGGTCGACAAACTGTTACAGTTTAAAGTTCTCACTTGCCTCATGAAAGCCGAGATTATCGAGAAACCACAAACCTCCTTTGACCGGGTCAGAGCTTTATTAGATACCCTTCCCCGGTGGGGACCAGAAGCCTACACCCTCTTCTGTAAAGCTTTGGAGGAATGCGGAGAGATACAGGCCATGACATTGTAGGAATTAGAGACAGACAAGACAGAGCTACAGGATCCTCGTTGTCATATAGACTTAGGCAATGACGTATTTGTGACGGCCAAGATGTGGAATGATGAACTGAACATTCATGTAAGGAAGTACGATGTATATCCTAGTGGGAGAAGTTATCCTACCAAACGTGGTATTGTCCTGAGTTTGAAACATTGGCTGGAACTTAGTGGAGTCCATTTCAAGCTTCAGGAGGCCATCGATCAAGGAAGGACCCATGATTATGCTCATGTTGGAGCCAATATGTATGCTACTTTGGATCCAAATGGTGGTGTGGATCTACGACAGTGGGAGAAATATGAACACCTGGGAAGAGTGGTACCTACGGCTAAGGGTATCTTGTTATCCAAACAACAATGGCAGAAACCGAGAGACTGTTGTGATGTGATGACAGATTTCGTGCCAGAACTGAAAGAGATGGTTCCTTGTATGGGACAAGAGGATCATCAAAACCAGATAGGGTACCTCATGTGTTCCTTCTGTAACCCTAGTGACTAGTCACTGGGTGTAAAGCCATTCTTGGTTTAGACACTGTACTGTGCGGACGTGTTACCACTGCTCTGGGATATCGTCGATGTGTGTGGACATTACCCACTCGACAAGACACTCGATTGCTGTGCAATCAGTACTGAATGGACTTCATTCCAGAAAAGACTCGATTCGTTTAAGGACTGGCCAGTGCAGATGAAATAGAGTCCTAGTCGCATGGCCCAGGCCGGATTTGTGTACTTAATCAGAGGGGACACTTGCAAGTGTTTTCAATGTGGTCTCGTTCTCAAGAACTGGGAAGTAGATGACGATCCCGGGGTCGAACATGAAAAATGGTCTCCAGACTGTCCGTATTTGGCCCTGGTGGGAGTACCTCAGAAAAATATGACCTGCTGGGGTAGTCATGTGGATTTGCAACCAAGAGTGTGATGTAAAATGTGTGAATATTAGAAAAATCAATGTTAAGAGTACATATGCATTGGTTGTCTATGTATAGTCTTTTGTTGATGTATAAATAGAGGTTGACTCAAATACTAATCTCATTGAGATCCCAACCACGATAAGAGTTTGTTTGCTAGAATTATTATGGCTAGGTACGTGTTGAAACATTACGAATTTTTAAGGTTCATGTTAATGTTTCAAGACATTGAGGAGATTCGACAAGACATCTTAGAAATGAACAGAGAACAGATTCTTGCCGTCAATGGTATTATCAATAGGTTATTAAAGGGAAGATTACCAGTGACTCGATATGAAAGGCGTCGTTTCCTGAGGGAAAATGATAGAAATAACTACCTAGCTGTGTTACGAAGATTAGTTCACCCCTTTGAACGACAGACAGTATGTGGAAGAGTCTTTTTGCCAGATACATGCCTATCGTAGCATTTGTTTTGAAACCACAGTTTGTCAATGCACTTAGAGATGAGGCCATTCAAAATGCCTGGTTGTTTGATAGAGCATTGGCTTAGTACATCTGGTACACCCGGCTCAGGTTTAGTTTGTCAATCCGGGGAAAGAGCATGTATGACCATCCTGGCAGTGATGATGAAAGCTACACCAAGCCATGAAAGGTCAATTCAAACCGTGGATATCTATATATAACATGCCACGAGGGCTATCTAGCTTCATTTAGCTGTGGACCAATGACAGTGACACATTACCTCAAGTCACTCCCGTTTTCATCATGAATAATCCACAATACAAACTCTTCGTACCCGATGCCGATAAATGGACACGGTTTTACATGCTGAAGGGAAAGGAGATCCTTATCATTTTATAATGGGTGGAGGAGAAATATCTGCCATGATGTCTGTCGATCGATATTTGGAACTGTATGACCCAGAGTGGAAGAAAGGTAAACCAAAAGAAACTTCAGAGCAACCTACGATTAATTTTGTTACTCCTACTCAACAAGTGGTCGAACAGGCCAAGGCTCTTATTCAGATGCAGAAGAAAGGGGGATCTAAAGCTGGAAGTTCCTCCCAGATTCCCATGAAGAAACGGAAGACGACTTTTTAGATAAAAGCAGCCTGTAGACATGGTTCCCTGCCATTTAGACTCGGACCACAAAGCAGTCAACAACGTGCCCCGTGTGCAATCAGATTTTTTCCAGAAGGGACGTCATGCTTAGACATTTCAGGAATCAACACAGACGAGCAATGCAGCGACCACCACCACCACAAGCAGCACCAGCACCACCACAAACACCACCACAAGCACCACCACCACCACCACCACCACAAGTACCATCACCTATGATGCAACCAGTGCAACCACTTTTATCAGAAAGTATTAGCCAGTCATGGGAAGAATTTAGGCTCCTAAATCCATTTACCATGATCGTCTCAGGGCCCACCTCCTGTGGGAAAACCTACTTAGTGAAGCAGCTTCTAGAAAGGATGAACATTAAACCTTATCCTGAATGTATTTTATGGCTCTACAAACGATGGCAGCCACTGTATAACACCATTCAAGCCTGTGTTTATCCATATGTTGAATTTCATCAAGGCATTCCTTCTCACATCGAAAAGGATTCGTTTCTGGACCCCAGTCTTAATGTCTACTGCCAGCAAAGATCCAAGCATTACAGATCTTTTTACCGAAGGAAGTCATCATCGTAATCTCTCAGTGATAGCCTTGAACCAGAATTTGTATTACAGTAAGGATCCCACACAACGAAGAAACTGTCATTATCTGCTTCTGTTCAACAACCCTATTGACCAACAACCCGTCATGACTTTGGCGAGGCAAATGTTTCCAGGTAACACAGACCATTTCATGGAGCCATTTCTAAGGGCCACCCAGAAACCTTATGGATACTTGTTGGTTGATCTAAAACTCCAAACACTTCCCCATTTGCGACTTTGTCCCAACGTATTCAGTTTAAAAGGAGGCCTCCAAGCTAGGACAATTCAGTCCGAGTTAGACGTTCAGAGTGAGCAGACGTGTAAAGAAAACCTCCCAACAATGCCATCTTGTGATGACTGTGGACTCGTGTTTCAAGATGTGCATGATTTGCAAAAACACAGAAGAAACTGGTGTCCTGAAAAGTCTTCAGTGGGTCCACCTGGAATACCCCAAGTTAAAAGGAAGTGGGAGGAAGACGATAACTTCTCTGCTGTGAAGAGACCACGTCCTCTGTCAGATTGTGACTATTGCGGTCAAGTGTTTAGCAATAACCACAACTTACAAAGACATTTACATGATAAACAATGTCCTGAAATGGAAACTGATGATGATGAATCGTTAAACGATGTCACACATGGCAATAGGAAAAATAACATAGTTGATCTCGAGGAGCAAGGTATAAGACAAATGTATTCACGGACGCGTGAGCTGAATAAAGACTTTTTGGATGAGAAACGACAGCTGTACATGAGAAGAGGGTTACACAAAGACATGATACAAGCCAAACTGAAGAAATTCATCTGGAGCACGTTTAAAGAGACGTATGCCCGATTTATTACTTATCTGTATCATATGCAGTTGGGTCCAAAGACACAAGGAATACTGAAACGAGTACAAGACACGAATAATCTGTATCATGACGTGTTTTCCAAACTGTACCAATATAAATCTTGGGTAGAAGACTTAATTGATGATGATTATGACTGACTGACTGAGTTCAGTTTTACGCCGCTTTTAGCAATATTTCAGCAACATCACAGCGGGGGAAAACCAGAAATGGGCTTCACACAATGTACCCATGTGGGGATTCGAACCCGGATCTTCGGCGTGACGAGCCAACGCTTTAACCACTAGGCTACCCCATCGCCCCCGATGATGATCATGAAGACATGACATCTGATGTAGAGAGTGAAGGACAGGACGTTGGGGAAGGGCAATAATACAATTAGCACAACATGTAAAGCAGACATTTGGGACAGCTCCTATCCTAAAGCCTACTCATTTGAAATGGAGCTAATAAAGAATGAAATCTGTATATCTTTCTTGTTTCTTAATGTATTGTACCCGTGAAGGTGCGGGTTAGAATGAACCTTCAGTAACCCATGCTTGTCGTAAGAGGCGGCTAACGGGATCTGGTGGTCAGGCTCGCTGACATGGTTGACACGTCATCGTATTCCAGTTGCGTAGATCGATGCTCATGTTGTTGGTCATTGGATTGTCTAGTCCAGACTTGATCATTTACAGACCGCTGCCATATTACTAGAATATTTGCTGAGTGTAGCGTTAAACAACAACCAACCAACCAACCAAACATCACAAAATTTCATCGGCCAGAATTTATATCATAGTATTTCGAAAACAAACTGTATTAACACTCGGTGTCAAAGTCAAAAGTTGTGTCTTTGGCTTTTGACTTTTGGCTGGTTACCTTTACCAACTGATTATGTATATCTAGTGTCTTAACAATGACAGTATATTAACAATTGTTGTAAGGGGGTGGGGTGGTGGGGTGTGTAGTAGTGTAGTATGGGTTGCAGAAGATCAATTCAAACTTGGATCTTCACGGGTAGAACTTAAGTAAAAAGCTGATGCAATTAGTCCAGCCATTAGCAAATCGCTACGTTGTATAATCCTTTTCGCACACATACAGCGGGTGGCCACAATATTACCTACATTGATGGCGGCCGAGTGCGACGCCTCCTGTCAGCGCGGTTTATTCAAATGGTGATAGAGCATGAAATAAAGGGTGACTTACCTCAATAGTTGGTTATATGACCCTTGTTCCTCAGAATTTTCACTATTCCCCGTGGAATTGATCTGTACAAGTTCTGTATGTTGTTAACCGTTGTATTTTGCCAGATATCCCTGATTTCTCTCTCGAGATCAGCTGCCGACTGAATATGTTGTCGGCGTGCGGCCAACTTGTTTTTCAACATCAACCAACAATTTTCAATTATATTTGCATCCGGTGATTGTGCAGGCCATACCATGCCATTTATGCCATTGTTTTGTCTATAGTTCTGTACAATTCGGGCCCGATGCACAGGGGCATTGTCGTCTTGGAAGATATAATTATTTCCAGGAAAATAACGTGCTACAACAGGCCAGAGGTGAGAATCAATTATGTCTTTATATTTCTGGGCATTTATATTGCCGTTAACAACAGTCAAAGTTCCGACACCATGCCAAGTAATGCAAGCCCATATCATCAAACCCACTCGAGGCTGCCGACCTGGACACAGGCATTCGGGTAGGTACTCTTCGCCGGGCTGTCTCCAAATATAGACACGATTATTTTCTCCAAGAATAACCTTGCATTCATCACTGAATATTACTCTATTCCAGTATTTATCCACAGTTTTGTACCTCTGCCCTCTTGCCCATGCGAGACGTTTTCTGATGTTGTTCTCTCGAATTCTAGTAAGATATGTTACACATAGGGGCGGTGGGGTAGCCTTATGGTTAAAGCATTCGCTCGTCACGCTGAAGACCCTGGTTTGATTCCCCACATGGGTACAATGTGTGAAGCCCATTTCTTGTGTCCCCCGCCGTGATATTGCTGGAATATTGCTAAAAGCGGCCTAAAACTATACTTACTCACACACGTTACACGCTGCACAGTGTAATGATGATCATATTACTTATGTCACCTAACATGTTGATCCGCTCAAGGTGAAAGACGACCCGGGGGCTTACTTCTCCGACAGAGTTTTCAGACATGAAGCTTTTCTCATTACTTTGTAATTGTTTAGCGATAACAATTGGTTGTACTCAGTAAAGAGTTCGAGACAACCTGAAATTCCGTACTCACAAGTTTGACAGAATGAGGTTGACTGTGTTATGCATCCAATCCCACGGTTTAAGTAGAGGAATTCGCTCAACGTCACCCCCTTCTGCATACTAAGATATAGTAATGCGTGGATCTTGCTAAATGCATTTAACTGTATTAACAGTGACGCAGGTATCGTTTACATCAATCATCTAAAACAACCTCGCAGGCCGAGGCTCACTTAAGGATGAACCACCACTAACATGGAGACATGCTAGCAAATAGTAGTGCAAACTGTGGAAATTAAATACAGTCACCCAAAACCCTTTCCATACCTATATTAAAGCACGCTGGGAGTCTAGTCCACTATATGTCTCCGACTATTTCCTAAACTTCTGTCCATGAATCAGTACCAAACAATGATTACAGCAGGTGCTTGCGTAAATAAATGAAACGACATTTGATCTGCGGTTTATTTCTACAGTCCGTTTGGCTCAAAAGCGGGCCGATGATTTGCGATCTAACTCGAAAACTAATAAACATAAAATACTCAATGAAACGCTGATCATAATCAAAACATCATACCCACTCATATTGACACAGTTCACTGTTTGTTACGAGGGAGGAGTGCAGAGAAAGGGACAGCCTGGTGTTCGAGAAGCACGTTCACAGACAAAGTTATTTATTCATTAACCTGTGCTGTGCCGTCTCCATCCGTTCTCGAACACCTGGCTGTCCCTTTCTCTGCACTCCTCCCTCGTAACAAACAGTGAACTGTGTCAATATTTTAATGATAGATTGTTAATCAACTTTTTTATTTTTAGGACAAAACTTCTGCAAAAACCTCACAGAGTGGGTATGATGTTTTGATTATGATCAGCATTTCATTGAGTATTTTATGTTTATTAGTTTTCGAGTTAGATTGCAATTCATCGGTCCGCTTTTGAGCCCCAAACGGACTATAAATGGTGCTGAGATCAAGGCAATGGCGTGCTACGATTGTGTGAAGAGGCAGTAAAATATAACAATACCTTTAATCAAATGTGCACATATCAAACCAAGTGGAGATGCCTTTCAGTTCAGCATTAGCTTCCATGTGATAGCTTATCTAGGTTGCAAACATCATATAATTTGGAAATTCCTTGTTTCTGATTGGTTGGTCGAGTGAATCAAATCATATCAAAACAAATCTTTTGCAACTGATTCTGTGTCATTTGATTTGCAAATGCTAAATGCATTTAGCCAAATCCATGCACTAATATATGTCACTATCAGATTTCCACCTGTTCCCAAACTTGAAGAAACAATTGTCATGCAAGCACTATGCAAATGACGATGGCATTTCTGTTGCGGAAAACTTTTAATGCCACTAGGAACAAGCCTTCTATAACACTGGGATCCAGGAACTTCAGCTTCATTTGAGTAAGTATTCGGACCTCAGAGAACATCATATTAAAATATAATTCAACTGCATAGAGGCATTTCATCAACACATTTCTGCCACCCACCCCCTGAAAACATTAAAAATATAACAAAACTGAGAACATTTGTTTCATCGTGTGTTTTATTGTCATCTATCATCTGTACACTATACCTAAATCTGTCTGAAACTGTCCAAGTCTGCCTAGAGTGGAAAGTTGTACAATAGGTCAAACTCAAACGTAACAACATTGAGGGTCACACACTCAGTACACACAAGAGAGTGAGAGAACACCAAAGTTATCTTTCCCTGTCTGTAACACTGATGCTCAAAGAGGAACCCCCATCCTGGGTCACTATTTAACACAATTCCCAAAACAATAAATACATATTTAGGAAAATGGTTACGAGATCACCAAATTCAGTGCATGATGCCTGTCAAAATCTCATGATCATGACTGGTAGCAATTTCTATTATCCCTCTGCAAGGTACTGGGTTTTCCAGAGTTAAACATGACCCTTCTGGGTGGGATTGCCTTCTATTGCAACATCCTAGCCCATACACATTACTGGAATTGGATCTTCACAATGCTGGAACAATGTCATCATAGTTCCCCTGGATGGTACAAAGGTGCAAAACAGTCAATTCCATAACATGACTAGATAATTATTCAACAGATTATTTACTGTGGACAATTTGGCCAAATTTAGCACCATTAACATTTAGTTTGAATACATTTTAGACCAGACCTTCATAATAAATTCCAATATACTGTATCATTAAATATGATATCTGAAGACTGCTTTCCACTCAAATCGTGACATCCATTACATAAACAATAACAACCAATCCTTAGAAAATACTAAGATTCAAATACTATGAAGGCATATACAATTTCAACAAAACCAGTGCTTTGTAAGCAACAACTGGGAATGAATTTGTCAAAAAATGTCAAACTCTTTTTGATCTAGATTGCAGATATGACATTTGTCTTGTCAAGTTCAATGTCCTATGGTCAGTGTGACTGATGACCCAGCTGTCAAATCCAGCCATGTTACATTTGGGTTCTAAATCAGAAACATAACACCTAAAAATCGTAACTAAAAACATCACATAAAATCAAACAAATAATGTTACTTCAACACAGTGCTGAAATGTAAGTAAAATAAAGCTACAAGAACTCAATAAATTCTGCAACAGTTTCAACGAAAAAAAACATGTAAAAGTAGAAGAAACATTGAAATAATACATTTATATACATTTGTGAGGTTCAAATTACCTGATCCATGCTATTTTGGGCACCAGTCGTTTCATCAACATTTTTCTTAACACACTGGACATGAGAATGTGCTGATTTTGCCAACATCTGAATAAAAACAAGTTCGTAAATCAACATGATTTCATGTAATCCAAACCACACAAAATATTTGACTAAAGTACACCTTGCAGCTCAACACTACCGTTCTACACTACCACCTACAACACAACAACAACCATCCTCTCGAAAAAACAGTTATTGCGTGTCATGGACTTTCGAAATATGACACACAACTTGGAGATAGATCCATTTCAAATAACCATTTATCAACAGGAAGTGCTCCAAAATGGTTTGTCTCCTCCACTGAGTGTCTACCACACAATACATCTCCACAATACTGCTAGTTTCCCTATCCTGATTGAGACATCTGGCTTCTATCCATGTTGCACTATAAGTAGTATTGGAAATCTAACAAGGCCAAATTGATCACTGGCAAATAGGACAATGTCATTTGGTTTGAATGAGGTCTTTTAGAGTTACTTCCCTTTGATCAAACAATTGTGTATCTCTCGACAGGGATAAAAACTGTTTCTTAAGGACTACAAAACTGGTACTGATTAATCATTTTAAAACACACATACAGTATGATTTCTCAAAAGAATCATGAGAACTGTCAACTATGAAAAATAATTTCAGCCATTAAACTTGAAATAGTAACAGTATATCCTTATTTATGTACAAAAATTCACAACATTCTCACTGAAAATATTTCAATACCCTTTGACAATATTTAGATATAAAAAATATGCAAAACTGTCAAGGAAACCCACTTTGATGACAATTACACGTACGTACTGTAACGGAATGTCGGGGAGGGACACACCACGGGTAGGAAAACACGGACTTGCTACGATTCACTAATCACAAACTGACTACATATACAAAACTTTCAACACTGCACACTTGAAGGGAGATTATCTAAAGACTTTAAATTGCTAAAACATATAGCCATGTTCAAATGACTATCGCCATGGGGTAACCAACTAATGATGACATAATCCAGATATGTACTGGGTAAACGTTGTAAAAACCTATACTAAGAAGATAGTTGACCAGACATCTCGCATTTGGAGCAACAGGATAATCCATGGTATTTGATAGGACACTGAATTACCCCATCATTCTAGATTTAAGGATGTTCCAACCAGTTTGTTCAGAACCTAAGCAGTTAGAAGACTATGCCATTGGAGACCGAGCTTATTGATGAGGGAATAAAAGACAATTCCACATTTGCAAATTGATCACACTAAAATACACTGCTACAACAATCACACAATACTGAATATCTTCATTGTTAACAAGACACAGGTGTAAATATGAAACAGCATAACCATAAACTCTTTAAAATATCTATGTCAAGAGCTATGGCGATATGCTGTTTGTCCACACTGTGATTTACAAGTGACCCGTGGCTTGATTATGCTCTGTTGACAGTAGACTAACACTACAGCTCTGTATACGATTCCTGGTTAACAGAGATGAACAGAATTCTGTTCTTCATGATAATGGATATCCGAGTATTGTTCAGAAGCCTATACAGAATACACATGGCACCATGGATATTCATATCCAAATACAGAAGTCATCAATAAACCCATTCTCTGATACAAAGTGTGTATCTCCATTCTAATCTTGTAACAGTGTTATTAAAACAGTGTCAAAATGATGATATTGGTAACATGTGGCATTTACATTTTGGCAACTCTGAATAAAATATTTTCTTACAGATCAAATTGTAGGATCACTACTATTGTAAAACAAATAGTCATTTTACATTCACATGTAACAAACTTATTTAAAACATGTAAATGTTAAACATAAAACAAATACATTTGCTTTGAATACAAACAACTACAACACAAGCCATCAAAAAAGAGAAACTATCCACAAATGCAATATGAATCGAACCTGATTCTAGAAGTCATGATATGATAATGAACAAACGGGAAAGAGAAACAGTTGAGTCAGGATGACATGCTACAATCTAGCATGGACAGAATTATAAGTTAGAATCATCATTTTTAAGGCAAGGATGGAAAGCAAAACTGTTCCATTCTTGAACACCATTTCTAGTGAGCAAGGGCTGTCGTCTTCCAACAAGCCATTGGCTGCACATAAGGTTTTTGTTATTTTTAAAATGATAAAATACTTTTAAAAATGTTTATTGAATTATACATGCTTGGGAATCTGATTAAAATATATTAATAGTGTTCAACTAAATTAATTAGATAACAAAAAGAATGTAACTTATTTCATATGACTATATAAGTTGCCCAAACAAATGGATTGCGTCAGTTCCAAATAAGGACTATAAGGACAATCTTGTTGATATGTCAAATGTAAATAAACAAAACCAAATGCCTTTACCACAGATAAGCAGATAAAACAGACCCTTGAAAAATGTGTGTAAAATCTAACAGAATAAAAGAAGACATTTTCAAAGCAAACATCTAACATCACTGGATGAAAAAATATATTCATATGTAAATATTATTGTGAAAATAAGTTTCAATCTGAAGGAAAATATTTCAGGATTGTCTTATAGTGGAGGTCTGTTTCATGTGAGATATGCAATAGAGTAGTGGTGATATGCAAGATGAATGGCTTCAGAGCAGTAACGACTCACCTTAGTATCGGGTCATTGTGATACTTTGCTCCATGATATACGTACCGTAATGTCACGTGATGAATCACTACAGAACTGTATATCATATATATCAACCATAATTATACAGACAAAAGGTTCCCTGGTTTGAAAAGTAATATTTTCTGTAGTCATGTAAAAATCTGAAGCGAATTAATTCCGTTAATTCAAATTTCAGGATGAGGATTAGATCATGCTCTTCGCTGATGGAATACATTGCAAGTGTCGTTTTTTTCATTTCACATGGTGTATCATTGCCATCAAGATATATAGTACCACAATGTAGAGTATTCTTAGTCCTAATTATTAGTACTTAAAGTGTTTAAATCCAGATTCCTAGGGTACTATGGTATTTCAATCCAGGGAACCCTAAAGTTTCAGCTAACAGGACTGTCAATGCATGACTTTACAACCTAATTTCAAACACGGCTGATAATACTTTCCCATGAACCAAGTATTTTCTCAAGATTCACAATGATTCAATCTTTTTCTATTTAAAGGCAGTTTCCAGCATACTGGTGACAATTTTGAAAGATCGCCTACACAGAAAACTGTATCTATCGTTACTGTGTTGAAGCATGTACTTTAACATGTACCTGACCATTAAGGGCGCCAACTAAACAAACCTTTGATCTGGTGGACAGTTGTAATCTAAAAAATATATTAAAATCAGATCAATTCTCTTATCACAATACAGTTCCACAAAGATGGGTACTACATACATAAATGATTCCAATTCATGCCCTCCATACAAAATATAAACAAAATTCTTAAGCAATACTAACCAACCACTGTCTTTGGTAACGTATGACCCTATCACAGTGACCAGCAGATGGCTTAATGTACACAGGTGATCGCTAGTTTTGAGATGTTTATGTACATAATCTCATATACATATCAACAATATGATACTGGCATTGTGCTGAGTCGGATGTACGGGCTGCTGGACACTGGTGATAGGGTCATACGTTGGGGCTGGGCATATTCTGTTGTGATTCTCGGAAGCAGGATCAGGAAGCATGGAATACAGATTTTACTACTCTCTATATCCATTGCAGGCATTTTGGAATTTTGGCATTTTGTTTGGAAGATATAGGGTCCTAACCTTAGGCACTGCTTGATCAAGTTCTAGGACCCTTTATGAAGTATATGACATTAGCTAGCTAATAACCCATGTATTTGTATCATATTTTCCCATACATTTAAATTTTTAACAATATATCATATATCTCCGAATAACTAATAAAACTCACGCTTTAACATAAGATAACTATAATTAAGTTCTAAAATGAACTGAACCTGTTGTGTTCAGATTATCAAGACATAGTTCATCTTTCTTCCAAATTCCATGGTATGTTGTTTATACTTCATTCCTCAACTCTGTGTTCCTCTCAATCTCTTTTCTTGTCCTCTTTTGACTTGATGACATCGTTCCTCATGTCTTTGCTTTCTTCCTCCTTCTTAGGCTCCTTGGTTACAGCTCTGCGCATGGCATCCCAGATTCCGCCCATGAAGATGGCACAGAACAAGTTCTCGAAGGGCCCGAATGGGTCATGAATGCCAAGGATTATTGACGACAGCTTGAAGTAGATGAAGAAGATGACAACTCCGAAATAGACGAGTGGGTGTGGCACACTGATGAGTCCCTGTCTCTCCAACAGGAACACAAGAGAGGCCACTGCTGATGCCTTTGTGTAGCTGCAAGGGAAACAGTACAGGAGTTAAACAGAGAATGAGTGTTGGTTTGAGTAAGTTAATGAGTGAGTTTAGTTTGCTACCATTTTCCACAATATTCCAGCAACATCACTGCAGGGGACACCAGAAATGGGCTTCACACATTGTGCCCATGTGGGGAATCAAACCCAGGTCTTCAGGGTGATGAGCGAATGCTTTAACTACTAGGCTACCCCACCGCCCTTGATGGGTTTGATGCTGCTGTGAATGTCCAGTTGTATCATGTCATGTCAATATACTATTGGAGGAAAGACAAATACTACTCAAAACAATTTATGACAATATGCTGACGGACAATTGATGTAAATCTGGGATTCAAACCATCCAATACACCACAATGTTAGTGCCATGGACCACTTGGCTAAGTTGGGATCTTTTTTTTTTCCTTATGGTATTTGAATCTAGGAACACCCTGAATCTTTAACTCTCAACAATACAGCAAATTCAGCATACCCTGACTTTCACGGTAAATTTCAAATTCTGCAAAATGTAAAAAGCAAAATTCAAAAGCATGTTCCATTCTGAATTTGTCCTTGATTTACAACTATATTCCACAATGGAATCTTTATTGAAACCTTTAACTACGATCAAGAAAATAATTCCACTATCAGGCCTATCTAACTATAACTACAGATATAATGGAGTTTGAACAAATGCCGAATAGGCCCAAATGTCCCTGAGTTATTGGTGAATTCTCTGTTCAAAATCAATGAAATAAATAGGTGCTCCAGCTCATGCTCAAAACATCAGCATAGTAGACACAAGAAACTTGCTTGTAATCTACTCTGTAGATATCAGAGGGATTCTGGCTTCCATCAAACTTTTATATAGCACACCGTGTCAGCTCATAAATAGCCTTGCTCCAAGACTACTAAATGCTAAGCCAATGTGTAGTAATTCTATCCTTTAAAGAGGCAAGTCTTGATAAGTGGACTATCTAAGGACCCCAGTCTGTTATCAATATATCTTTTTAGAAATGATCATTTATACTATTAATTATTATGTTAGAGACTTGTGCAAGTCTAGCCCACAAATAACAATAAGTGGATACTGTAAAGGCTCAAAGCTTTCCATCAAACCAGTCAGTTCTGTTTATTGTTATCTTACTGAAACATTTCTGTCAAGATAAACTGTTAAGAGTTTCATTTTTAGCAACTACATGACAAGCATGCTGAGCCTAGATAACTCGATATGTGGTTCATTGATAAAATGGGCACAACAGCTGGTGTTGAATGATAAAAAGCAAATAAAACTACACAATATGAGTTGAGGTTTTGATGACTGTTTCTCTGTCATATAAAAACACATGAAACAATCATATGAAGCATGATGGAATTAGGAAGAAAATGGAATATATCGTTTTACAAAATGTTAACACTTCAGTTCAGTTTGGTGATGTGATTAATTTCAGATAAAACTATGACATGAATCTTTGATTAGATCACAAAATGAACCAGTCATAACATGTTAATATTGAGCTTATATTATTGTTCAGCATATTGGCTTGTGCAGAAAATAACAAATAGAAATAACCTAAACGTCACTGGGAAAAATGCCAGGGTGACAAAAATACTTACAAAGTTGGCTGTAAAAGTTCATTTGTGGTGGGCACCCAGATACCTCGGACAAGTCTATCAACGTTCTTCATCATCCCGCTGCCTGCACCTGTACACAACACAGACACAACACAGTATTATATACAACACATTATAAAGATTACTTTTCTTATTGTCTTTCTGAAATTAGAAGAAGTTTAAAAAGAAAAATAATAGAATGTCCGATGCAAAGTACACACCAAAATTAAACATGTCCACCTCATATACTTCAATATCTTATTCATATTGCTTTATTTAAGAAAATACATAACACTAAACCAAATAGCCATTTGCAAGGCAGTATTATGAGATCCTATCCAATCAACTTAACATAGATCTATTTAGAATATTTTCTTTTTTTCCTTTTATTTTTTTTTGCAACTGATTAACTGATTATACTAGATATAAAATCACATCAGCAATATTTCAGCACCAGAACTGAGCTCTTGACTTTGTTAAGTTTAATCAATTGTTTCTTGTTGATTATATGATCAGTCTGGCAACCTTGTGTTACTTTTCCTCAAACCCATTGTGGCAATCCAACAACAGAAGAGCTCATCACTTGGCTACTACAGGGCCACAAATGAAGCTTGGTTGGTTGGTTTTATAGTTTTAGGGCGACGTGGGCCAATAAGAGGCCTATTTGCGCCCAACACATTGACTTCATTTAATAAACAATCATAGGTTATTCACAAATGAAGCTAGGCTGCCACAAGTTATCTCCCTTACTTGGTAAATGTAGTCGCCTTCTTATTACATAAATACTCATTTTATTTCTGTGCTACTTGACTTTGAAGATCTTTTCTCTTTTGTAATTATTTTTTAACATGTTAAAGATTCAACTAACTTCATTTTCTTTTGATTTAAAATATGTGAACTTGATTCTTAGATGTTAGTTTATTTAACCATGTCACCATATGTGTAATAAGCTATTTCAATAGTTCCATATTTACTTCAGTGCCATTGAGCTCTTAAGGTAATGTTTGGAAAGTCTGTGTCATGTTAGACCTAGCCTATACCCATTAGATTCCACAAATGCACACAAAAAATCAGTTGTAACACAGTACAGGGTCAGCCTGACCTTACAACCAGATCCTGACATAAAAGGTCATCATCAAACGTCACAAAACACATTTTTGAAGAGTAAACCTAATTTAAGAACCACAAATATTGTTTAATAAACATGAATAGCATACAAATAAAATAATTATGATAATAAATAAAAATGAATTAAATTCTAGCAAAACTTATGAATATGCTAATTAGTCTCACCTATTTTGACAGAAATGATGCCAAGAGCATGTCCATTATTATAACTACCATCTAGTTATCAAAAAAGCAATCACCCCTTTCACTCTGCCACAAGTCATTGACCTAATGTCACTGACTTGCCAAGTGTTTGGGCAGATTCACTTCTGAGTAAAGAAGCAGCTCCAGCTTTCATAGCTTCTGCTGTGCCGAAACCTCAGATACAATTCTTTCAGGAATGATCTTAAAACTTCTGCATAAAAGCAATTTAAAACCTGTATGACATCAGTGATGTCACACACATGGTTGTATTCCTATAGGTCCAGAATATAGTATCAATCATATATATATACAAATTAACACCTTCTTTTTTAATGTTCATGGTAACATTGCATACTCAGGTGTTAATTTGTATATGATCTAATTGTTTTTTTTGGAGTGTTTTTGTCTTTTTCAAATATTGCGCTTAACATATTTTTTCACCCAAAATGTGATGCTGAATCATCAATTCCATATTACACAAACTGAATCCCAAGCACATGGTCTGCATGTGAAGGGAGATAACTCTGCCTGCCTTACTGCCTGCTGGTGGAGCCATATTGTCTGGGTGTGGTATGCCATGGCAGGGCTCCAGAATGCAGTAACTGAGTAATGTACCCGCAGCGTCAAGGACACGTGGCAGCATGTGGAGGTAACACTGAATCAGCATCTATAGGCTGGCTGCTGCATGCTCAGCCACATTCTGTGTTTGAATACACATTGTTTATGCTACAGTATGCACTGCATTGGTCCAACCAAGTCTTGTTGTTACCTTGCCAAGATACTTCTTATAATTACTGGTAGTATTTCTGAGCTTCCTGATAAAGGTAATAAAGTGATGACTGTACAAATTGATAGGCAGTACATTACTCATATGAAGAAAGAAATATTAATGGAGGCACTTTTCAGAAAAATATTATTTAGGCAACCATGACCGTAATTCTATTATTAGGTCTTCAGATATACATAAGGATGCATATTTTTCACTTGCTTCATGGTTCTGCTTCTAATGAAATGGAATTAAAATCCAAAATTACCCTTTTTCTTAATCCTGCTGATTAAATTGTGTAAATGAATGCATGAACTAGGACCCACAATGAATAATCTTGCAACAATATTTAATAAACAAATAAAACTTTCATATCCTTCATACCAGCTTCCTTGTAGTAGATGAGGAAATATAACAAAAAATCTGAATTGCTTTTTCTTCTTTGACACACATACTGAGGGATATTTTCCTGTCTAAATCTGTAAAGCTAGTACACTAAACTTGTGGCCTTCAGGGTAAAATTTAAGGTTAAAAATATCCCCATTTACTTCCTTTAGAGACTGCCAGTCTGAGAGTTTCTTCTGACGCATGTTAAAATACTGTATCCAGTATGGTAAAAAGAACATTTAGAATCTCGTTTAGTTTAGTCTTTAGATTGTAGTCCGATGCACCACTCAGGCAGGTGAGAGCTAAGCATAGACTAATGAGGTTGCAAGCATATTCTTGTGATAATACACTGATCAAGAATATAAGAATGAACAAAAACAAGCGTGCTGTGTCCACGTAAAACATTAATATAAATCAGAAAATAACACATCTTCTAAACACATGTTTAATATATAGTAGTCAATTTTATGTGAACATTGAATCTGAGTTGATGAGATCCACTGACGTGTTACACTCCCAATGTAAACTATAGATATTTGTACAGGAATGTATACCTGATGATCTCGCAAGTGGATTAGGGAAATATGCATTTGTTAGACACAAACTGCTTTTCCACGAATATGTGTTTCATTAACTGAAATTACCTGAAAATGAGCAATAGACTGTGATTGAAATAGAACCTCACAATACAGGAAAGGAACTGCATCTAATATAAATGTTCATACTAAGGTATAAAACTGTAACATTATAAAAGGTAAACATGGTAAAGGGACGTAGTAAGACTACCAGGAAAATTCTCAGTAGTAAAACTGCAACAAAAACAACTGTATATTGAAATATTTTATTCCTGAAACATGATCATCTCAAACATGTCCTCTTTAGTTTTCGAGAATAAACACACCGTACCCTCAATCTGTAAATATAAAACAATGCCTAGCTGAACTGAAATGTTTTATCTCAAATTTCACAGTTTTATTGACCAACTTTGTTAACATATGTTCATTCATACCAAAGTTTGCTGAAGGGGTACGATGTAGTGTTTTTGTCTGAGCATAATATAGGAGTAAGTGAGTGAGTTTAGTTTTACGCCACACTCAGCAATATTCCAGCTATATGGTGGTGGTGGTCTGAAAATAATTGAGTCTGGAACACACAATCCAGTGATCAACAGTATGAGCATCGATCTACGCAATTGGGAACCGATGACATGTCAGCGAGCCTGACCATCCGATCCCGTTAGTTGCCTCTTGCGACAAGCATTGGTTACTGAAGATCAATTCTAACCAGTATCTTCAAGGGTCGCATAATATATGAAAAATTGTTTTTCCATAATATTGAATCCCCAAAAGGGAGAGGAGTTGCATTGTATTCAGGTACACTCTATACTCAAGAAAATATCTTATATCTCAGTTCCTGTATTGCCCTACTGTAATTGCATATCTAAGCATTTATCATTACGCTGCTTCGCATTGGTATTAGGGCTTAAGCCATTTTGTTATACTTGGTTGTGTTCAAATGCCTTGTTTCAATGTGTGACATGTAAATAAACCTGATCATACTTTAATTAATAACTAGAGCCAAAGACCATAAACGAGGGACTTGGCAGTTATAATATCAAGAGTAGAACACTGAGATGAATAAAGCCATGTGAAACATGAGTGTATAGTTCTCTTACCTTTGATAGTACCAATCATTACTATGATGACATAAGCATTAGGGTAGAGTTTGGCCGTGTGGATCACGCCATGGTATACTTTGTGAGCCCGCTGTGTTTCTTTCAACATTGCTAACACTATCTTGAAAGGCAGGAACTTGACTATTTTGTAGACTATATCAAACGGTGAATAGAAGATTAGGTACCTGAAAGACAAAACATTTGATGCATCATTAAACAACATCAAGGAACATCTATCTACATGATCAGTGCTTGTGAGCATTTACCATGTTAGTCGAATATCGAGTATGGTTTTATGCAGCTTTAAGCAAAATTCCTGCAATATCACAACAGGGACACCAAAAATGGGCTTCACACATTGTACCCATGTGGGAATCGAACTCGGGTCTTCAGTGTGATGAGCAGATGCGTTAACCACTAGGCTACCCCACAGTCCGGGTTCTTTGATGTATGTTGTTTCAATATTTGAACCTGGGGTCCCATTATATCTTTAACTTTCAGAACTTTGGTAATGGCAAACACAGTCTGACAGTCATGATTACTTTCCAACAACCAGTTAAGATCCGGGTTAGAATTTATCTTCAGTATCCTTGCTTGTCGTAAGAGGCGACTAACGGGATAGGGGTCAGGCTCGCTGACTTGGTTGACACATGTCATCGTTTCCCATTTGCGTAGATCGATGCTCATGCTGTTGATCACCGAATTGTCTTGTCCAGACTCGATTATTTACAGACTGCCACCATATAGCTGGAATATTGCTGAGTGTGGCGTAAAACTTAACTCACTCACCCCACTTTCCAACACAGACAGTTCTTACACCATAATAACTACTAGCAGGACTGCATTGTATTACTGGTATACCAGTATACAGTCCTTAATTCATGCCTCTTTTAACCAAAGATCCACACAAATTTATTCACAAATGATGTTTTACTTCGAAATTGACAAAATGATAGAAGTGATGTTTCTCTCACAGCGGCCTCCTATGACCCTACTGACTTGACATCTTAACACCTACTTCAGTAGTTAGATAAATATCAAGAAAAACCGGATGCCTAACCTGTGCCAATCTCTATGAAACACTTTAGCTTTGAATCTTATGTCACATTTTGTATTACAATATAGGTACCTGCATCACAATACCCTGAAATGCAGGGGTTCTGCCAATACAGAACTCTGATAAACAGAGCAAATGTGTTGTTTGACTTTCAATGCCGCACTCAGCAATATTTATGCTATAAGAAAGAAGTTTGATTCTGGACCAGCCAGACAACTGATTGCTAATGTGAGCAACCATCCAAGCAGGCATGATACAGATGGCAAGCAATGAACAAGTCATTGAGCCTGACCACCTGTTCAATGTGGCCACCTCTTACAAACACCAGTATAGGTAGCTGGGGACCTGTTCTAACCCAGAATCCCTGTGGGAGGTTCACTGTATGGAAGTAATGCCATATGGAAATACTATTCTAAGACAACTCTTCCTGTCTATACAGCTAACAGGAACACCACCAGCAGAATCCTCTCAAGACACCTGTAAGGCCTAAAACAAAAAATGCTGTGGTTCCGATTACCCGACCGACCCTTGAATTCTGGTGCCAACCCTAGTTTTTTACGAGGTATGAATAAAATAAGCTTTCAGATACCATTGTTTTTTCCCAGCACCAACGGACATCGGTCATTCTGATAGAGAAAGTCGACATGATGGCTGCAAGCTACCTAGCCTACCTACCTACCCTAAATTGTGAAGAGGTGTAATCGGAACCACATTTTTTTTCTTTGGCCTAAGATATTTTACATCTAAATAAGGTATGAAGATACCACGTGTTACCCACCATACTACTGTAGCTGTTATCAAACTCTTGTGGTCTTTGAATGGTGTAAGGCAGGGTTCTCCAAGCAGCAAGTTAGCGATGAAACTGCCAGCAAAGCAAATCAACATACAGGAGAACCAGCAAGACAGCGGGTGCTTCCTGGAGAATGCTAGTGGGCCCGTCACTGCAACACAACACATGGAACAATGATCAGTGATGAGCTTGTACCTAGCTGAACCCAGGAATAGTAGGCATCTTTAGCTAAACAGTTGGCATGAGTGATAATGAGTGAGTGAGTGAGTTATTATTTAACGTCACATCGGCAATATTTCAGCCATATCATGACGAGAGTGATAATGATGGACATTAGCAGCTTTGTACTGTGGTGAAGTTTATACTCAATTAATAAATTTCACAATCTGCATCCTAAGTACAATCTGAATTCTGAGATCTAACATGTCAATGCATATTTACCTTTACATAGCTTGAAGCCTTTCCACATGTCTGAGTAAGGGTTTGACAGTTATGCAGAAATACTTCTGCAGAAGGTTTTATGTAACATTTTATACAAGTTAAACACATGTTGAGTCTATTCAAAGTCAAGTTGAACCAGTAAGCTTAGACTAACAACTAGTCTCTGAAATGAACATATTTTACAGGAAAAAAAAGTTCATAATAAAAAGAATTAAAAAATAATGAAAAGGAGCCCTGATACTTTCTTCATTTTCTGAAGCTTCTGGAAATCTAGACTTGTCACATATTCTAGACTTGCATAGCCTTTCTGGGATATGTTTGTTTCAGGGTCTGTATGACAGACTACAGTAAGCTACAGTAAGCTTAACTGATAACCGTGATACTCGCTCAGATTTTCAGATCTAAATTTCATGAAAACGATGTAAAAGCATGAGTTATAGACATCCGCTGGCCATGAACAAGGTGTATTTTTGTTATTCTTGACACTTGGGATTTATTTCTTATTTCCTGTTCGGTTTGAACCATGACTGTTCAGTGATGTTATCAGGATGTGTATCAGGATGTGATCATACATCCACTGTCAACTAAACATGGCATTATGGCATTGAGGGGGCTGCGTGGATGAGGATCATAATTTGTAGTTCATCCTCGTACAGAGAAGAAATTAACTTATAACCATCCATCATGTCCATGCTTCAACATGGTAAACTGTGGCTTGCATGACACAAAATGGAATTCTAGTATGAACACTAAATCTTATCTTGCTTCAAATGATAATGAAGCCCCTTCAGAGCCAGAAATTACCATAATTCTCTGACGATTACCATGGAAGGTGAATAATAACACAATCAATACCACACTGAGCCAGAACAGAACTGTCCCCACTGAAAAATGAACTCTGAATGTAATGAGACTCCGCATGCAAAATAAAGAGAAGAAAATCAAACTAAACTGTCAATAGACATAGCGGAAGTATGACATACAAGGACCATCAGACAAATATGACGACTACTTTTACATGCTATAATTCCATATTGACCTCCATAACTCCATGTTGAGCAGTCAATATGAGAGTAAATTACTTTTCAAATATTTGTAATAAACCAGTTATCTTGCATGTATTTGCTCTCAGAGTACAATGATCCAAATCTATTTTTACAACTTAACACTCACGCAATGTCAAAGACGTTTTCAGTCAGAAACATCTCCACTCTGATTTGTCAATTTCAAATCTATCTCCGAACAATCAAAGTGAGACTAAAAATGAAAACCCTTTCTCTAAACCAGATCACTAATTATGTTTGCTTTCAAACCCATCACTGTCTCTGAACTGTCAGTAATGCACACTGCTCTCAGAAGAATAAAATCAGCATGGTAAAGATGTAGTAGTGATTGCTATTAGCATGATTACCAGGATTAAACACATACAACCCACTATCGACAAGCAGTCTGAGAAATGTTCATCTGTTTCTACAACCACATGCGACAATGCCATATGATATATTTCCTTGTAAAAGGATGTGTAGTAAGACCTGTTAAGGAGAGCAAAGGATCAATTAAACACTGGCTGTTCCTCCTACTCTTGTATACAATGCACTCAAGATCATGGCAGGGTACCAGGCACCCTCAAGAGCAGCTGAGACGATAGATGTGAAACAAGGTGATATGCCAAATCATCTGATCAGATGATTTTACACCATTCTCAATAGATTTCAGTCTTACTGAAGTAAGAGACTACAACAGTGTGTGCACACAAAGCACCTGAGTCAGCTAGCCTTGATTTTATGCCATTCTCAATAGATTTCAGTCTTACTATAGTCAGTTTGACTTCATTTTAGACCGCTGAACTGCTCACTAACACAAAATCTAAGAAATGCAATAAAATCAAACGATGCACAGTCCTATGAAATCAACAGACCAATTCTGATAATTTGTCTCATATTGTGGACACCCGAATAAAAAGTTGTTTAACAAACAATCATAATTTTGTTGTCACTTTTCACTATTTCTTACGAGGGAGGACAACTTGCTGGTAGAACAGCCAGGTGTGCAAGTTATATGTGTGAAATTGAAATTTCACTGCACACGCTTGTTGATTACTTGGCTTTTCTACCAGCAAGTGGTCCCCCCTCATAAGAAACAGCGAAAAGTGAGCACAAAATAATAATCATTTGTTAAACTACTTTTTTATTCGGGTGTCCAAAATTATGAGACAAATCATCAGAGTTGGTCTGCCCATTTCATGTGACTGTGCACAATTTGGTTTTGTTGCAATTATTAGATTTTGTGTTAGTGAGCAGTTCTTGGTCTAAAATGAAGTCAAACGGACTATATACACGGTGATATGGACTAAGTGTTCATATTTCATGTTGTTATTAGACCAGATGAAATTTTACAAGCCTCGGGTTTAAGGCTAATGGTCAAAGTTGCATTAATACTGCAACAGTCTGCACCAAAACCTTTTGATACCACCTTTCAAAATTGATCAATGGGCATCTTATTAGGTGGAACTTCAAAATAATGTTTAGACTTTCATAAGCATGATAAACAAAGCTATCCAAGCTCACTAGACCGAAAGAACTACAAATAGACTCAGGATCCAGACAACAGTTCAGACTGCATTATTCTTTCCCTCAGGTATTGCACAGAAAAATGGTGACTGAGAACCATGAAATGAGAGCTAAGATGTGAAAAATATGTCGTAATGATGCTCCTTCTAGTCAGTGCTTGGTTTTCTTATGCTGATCCAATCATTTATCAATAGCAACTGGACAGCTCTGTTAGCATCTACATGGACATAGTGAAACAAGGTGATAGCGGTATCCATTAGTTGGCCCAGTAATGGTCAGGATAATGGATTTGGAACATAAAAATCTACATTTGGGGACAGGTTCACATCTTGTGCTTTGCAATATTTTCTCATTAGGGATTGCACAAATGTATGTGAAAGCTTCTTGGTGTTAAACTATCAGGCTCCACTGGAAGTCTGTACATGAATATCCCACAAGAGGTTGATGGTGCATGCAATTCATCCTCCCTTGTTTGCATCCTTATTTATGAGGGTGTCTGTAGATGGGTAACATCAACTGAATCATACATATCAAAATAAATGTAAAAATACTGGACAATCATACTGCTTCCATTGTCATCCGCAAAAATCCCAGGGGATTCCATATAGAACTAATGCATATCATTCAATACCCATTCTGATACAAATACATCCAAAACAAAGAGTGTAATTATTCTTCTCATGCTGGGGGCTATATTTCATATTTCATATGTATGGTTCACTCAAGATTGTGGTAGTATTAACGTTTTCATGAATTTGCTTTCACAAAGACGTAGGGACATACAATTTCAAAATTGCCATTGTAAGATCTCAGGGTCAGCATTTCTAAAACATTATAGTGGTTTTAAATCTGTTTTGGATGTTGAAAAGTATATTCTCATATTGTTTCCTGAAAAGGACCTGCTGAGGGTATATTGCAAATTTCGCTGTGCATCTCATAAATTGAAAGTTCAGTTAGGTAGATTTAAATGTTATGATAACCCCAATGCATTGTTATGTACTAAATGTCTCCTGAGCTGTATTGAAGACGAATTTCACGTTTTATATATTTGTCCTTATTATGACAAGCAGACAACTGGTTTTACCTGAATATTATTACAAGAATCTGTCTGCTTAAAAATGTATCAACTGACAGCATCCACTGACACAAAACTTATTAAATCTTTGTCGTTGCGATTTAAAAAGAAATTTGCCACTTTGATATTGTTGTGAATGATATAGCTGTATGTGCACTGAGTGCAGTTTTGTTTCTGTATTAGTAATATGGGTCACGTGGACCCAAATACTAAAACATTTGTCACTTGTCAATACCAATTCTGATACAAATACATCCAAAACAAAGTGTGTAAATATTTTTCTCATGCAGGGGGCTATATTTCACAATAAGTGCCCTCTGCACACCCACACATGGAATATTTTCTAAGAATCCAAAGCTATCAAACTGTTGGTACCATCAAGACTGTATCCCAGTATAACAACCAATATGAACTATTTGAAGTCATCATTTATATTTTCCAGGTTTGTATTAGAATAAAACTCAGATGGGCAACTGTGTGATGTAAAAATAAAATAATGCTCATTTCATGCCTTTTGTAAAGTGGCAAGTCAGTCAACTAATTTCAGAGTAGCTAAATACAAGCACCGCCTCCGTGGTGTAGTGGTTAGAGCGTCCGCCCGGAGAGCGGAAGGTCGCGGGCTCGATCCCCGACTGCGTCATACCCAAAGACGTTAAAATATGGTACTTGTTGGTACCTGCCTGGCGCTCGGCATTAATGGGTACAACAACGACTGGTCGGCTCGGAGTCAGTATAATGTGAGCGGGGTATTCATGCTTCACTGCGGCATGGTATCTCAGTGGGCTAGCACTATAAAACCATCTTCAGTCTGGGCTAGTACAAGCAGCCGCACATACACATACACACGCATGCACATCGTCATATGAGCGAAATATTCTCAAGCACGACGTTAAACCCAATTTCACCTCACCTCAATACAAGCATAATGCTAAGGGAATAAATGCTTAAATATGCCTGCTCTCTTTCACAAAAATTTTTCATTTAAGGCACTGACAATACTCTTCAACAACATATACTTTAAAGCTGATTCCTGTGTGTTTTTATATATTGATTTTCTGTTTCTTC